GTCTTCATGATGGATCATCCCCTTAATCATTATATAGTGTCCTTCTTTGTCTTTTATGGTGGATTTTGTTTTAAAGTCTATTTTATCTGAGATTAGTGTTGCCACTCCTGCTCTTTTTTGGTAGCTGTTCGCTTGATGTATTTTTTTCCATCCTTTAATTTTTAATAAATTTACATCTTTGTTTCTGAGGTATGTCTCTTGTAGACAGCATATTGAGGGATCCTGTATTTTTATCCATTCTGTCACTCTCCATCTCTTTGTGGGTGCATTTAGGCCATTTACATTCAGTGTAATTATTGATAAATTTGAGTTTATTGCTGTCATTTTGTAGTGCTTTTTTTTTTGTGGTGCTAACGTTTTCTTTGTTCCTCTTACTCTCTTGTGCTGAATTCCTTTTGTTTTTGGATTTTTTTTTTTCATTTCTTTTGTTTTCGTAGATTTTGTTTTTACTGAGACTTTATGTTTTTCTTCTTTATTTTGATAAGTAGGTTTGTTAACTTTCTTTGTGGTTACCTTGAAATTTACCTTTATCCACCTAGGTTTGAACCAGTCTATTATTACTTGGTATCGCCTTGCCTTCCTCTCCATTAGAAGGTTCTATACCTACACTGTTTATTCCTTCTTTTATTGTTCTGATGTTGTTGTCATTTACAGATTAACCTCTTTGGTTCCCCGTTGTAGTTCTTTTGGTTTTAGATAGTCCTTGAGTTCATTTCCTAGGTTGGCATCTGGCTGGTACAATCCTATGTCCTAGATTCAGCCTGTGGTCTGATGTTGTTTGTTCTCGGATAGAGGGACTTGCTTTAATAATTCTTTAAAGTTTGGTTTGGTTTTTACATAGTGCTGTAATTTCTGTTTATCTGGAAATATCCTAATTTCACCATTATATTTGAATGAGAGTTTTGGAAGATATATTATTCTTGGCTGGGAATTTTTTCTTTCAAGGTTTTATATATGTCATCCCATTGCCTTCTTGCCTGCGTGGTTTCTGCCCAGTAATCCAAAACTTAGTCTTATTGTTTCTCCTCTGTATGTGACTTTTTGTTTTTCTTGATCTGCTCTCAGGATTCTTTGCTTACTCCATTCAGTGCTTGGCTGAGTTCTTTATCTCTTCTTTTGATGCTTAGGGTTTCAGGATGGACATTTGTCTCTGTTTGACTTAGTTTTTCTGATCTTAGCTGTGGAGGGACAGCATGGTGCTTCTGTCTGTAGCGCCATGTTGCGTGGAAGTCCTGATTTTCTTTTTATCGTCTCTACTTGTACTTCTGTGGTTATAGCTTCGTTTTAAAGCTGGTTATCCTCATGGTTGCAGAAGGACTGCAGTAGTTGGAAGCTCCATATCTGCACCCTCTAATACACTGGCAAGCTGTTTTTGTAAAAAGCTAGATAGGAAACATTTTGTTTTGCATTCCATGTCACAACTACTCAACTCTGCCTCGTAGGGTGAAAAAGCAGTCTTAAGACAATCTGTAAACAAATGAGCGTTACTGCGTTCCAATAAAAGTGTTTACAAAAGCAAGCTGCAGGTGGGATTTAACCTGTGGGCCATAGTTTGCTGACTCCTGCCTGACACCATGTTAAAAGAGCAAGTGTCTGGTTTAGTAACTCTTTCAGAAGAATGAAGAGGCTTTGTTTTCCAAAGTTCCCAGCAAACCTTCCCTTTTAGCTAATTGGCCTGAATTGGGTCTGGTGCCCGTTACTGAACCAATTCCTACAGCAGGTGGGGTGAGACTCCCTCACTGGTGTAAACTGCAGGCAGCCCGGAGGTTATAAACAAGATCTGTTCCTGTGTCTCTAAGTCGAATTTGTAGGTACGTTGAAACAGGTGTGCATCATTCTTATTTAGCCTCACTTTAGTGCAAGAAAAGGCTCAAAGCCTTTTCAGTGATTTATCAGCTGCCATGTGCAGCCATTGAAGGTGACTGCCATGAAGAATTTGAAGCTAGTAGGGGTTGATTCAGTCACTTCAATGTGAGGGCAAATTTACACGACATTAAAGGGCAATTATGAGTTGTCAGTAAGTGGGTTGTTTGTAACCCAGGGACTAACCCACCTGAAGCTGTGGGTGAAAGGAGCTTTCCCTGAAGCTCCTGGACTGCATGGGGCCAGGTAATGAACAGAATGAAACTCTGCTCACAATCAGGATGAACTGTAGGGGAATGGATGCTGGATAGGTGCCCAAGAAAGGTGTACTAGGTAGAACTTATCACAGTATGTTATAGTGTGTGTTTGTGCACCTTTTGTCCTCTCTGGAATGTAAGCTGCTGAGGTCAGGCACCAAATTGAGTCATTAGTAACCTCCTCATGCACCTTGGGGCAGGGCTTGACAAAGTGGCAGGAATCCTTTGCTCATAAGGATTAATATATTTTTGTTTGTTTGTTTTTGTAAGGATTTAATAACAAATGCATGTGGTCCTTTATCAGTCACATAAGTGAAAGGAAAAAATTGGGGGGAATATATTTTAATTTGTTTCATTGTTGATTAAAACTTCCAGTTCTTGAGGGATTAATTGTTTTGTTTTGTTTTGTTTTTTAATTTAAGGTTCACAAAAAAGATTCTGGCTTTTGGCGAGATTTTGGCTTTGGAATGACTTGTCAGTATCGATCAGATTTCCTGACTGTTGGTAAGTATACGTTACATTTAAGGATAGGATCTTATATGTTTGTTCTGGGTCTCAGATTTGAGTGTTCTCCTACTAAGTTATGAATGCTTAAGGTTATTCGAAAAGAGGAGTCTGGCGGTATGAAAGACAAAGTGAGTTTATAATTAATGTCTTTGAATAGCAAAAATGAGGTCATGAAGATAAAATAAATTACAATATTTACTTGACACCACTGTTTTTAAAATCGAAACATCACTAGTTTTAAAACACTCATTTGGTTTGTACCCATTTGTGCAATTGTTTTGGGTATGCTTACAGAAGATCTCTACATACTTTAATGTTGTATTCATAGGTTGTTACAGCTGGATTATATAGTCCAGGGCTTTCATGAATTTTCATGTAGAGATGAAGCTCCCTTTGTCTGTTGAACTATTATGCAATACCTCGGTACTGAAAATAAATGAAAGAAGAGCTTCTCTATTTAACTGTGGTGGATGTTGGAGTGAGGGAGCTGAGATACTTGCTTAGTTGTCCTCAGTGATGTCACTAGGGTTGGTGTCACACACACACACACCCCCCCCCGGCCTTGGACCACCTCCTGTGCCAGACCATACAAAATCCTTAGTAATGTTTTTCTGTACTAATGTTGCTTATAAATCATAATTCTGGTATATCACTCCTTCTTTTCATTTAATTACTACTTCATGCTCAGAGTTATTGATACAGGTTCACAAATACTAATTACCACCATACTGTAGCTAAAACACCAGAAAATTTGATAAAATCAGTGACTATAAATACACCGGTAGCAACAAAAACCAAAGCGCTACAAGCATGTGCAGATGAAACCACATGATTCGAAGCATCATTGTAATTGGGTAATAATGACAGCTCAGATCGGAGTGCATTAGAAGGTTCAGAAAGTAAATTAGCATAGAGTTTTAGCCTTACAGATATATTGATACATGTAAGCTGGGCTTACAAAAAATGTTTTTGTTGTTATAACTAACTACAGGGATAGTTTTATAAAAAATAATGAATTTCTGCTGAAACTCTCCACACAAATTTTATAGTCACTTTGGTGTCACCCGCTCTGACAGTGTCACCTGGTGCATTCCACACCCCTAGTATTCCTCTGGAAACCCTGGTGGTGCAGTGGTTAAGAGCTATGGCTGGTAACTAAAAAAGGTCATCAGTTCAAATCCACCAGGTGCTCCTTGGAAACCCTGTGGGGCAGTTCTACTCTGCCCTTTAGAGTCGCTATGAGTTGGAATCAACTCGACGGCAGCGGGCTTGGTTTTGGTTTAGCATCCCTCTAGTGACACCACTGGTTGTCCATTTGCCTGAGCCTAAAGATGGCCCGAAGAACCTGGTCTAAGCTTCCTTCCTCACCCTAGCTTCAGTCTTATCTGGCAAAAAATAAAGCATCAGAGAATAGTTTGATAAAGCAGAGATGATACCTGATTCCATGTCCCCTGATTCCCTGGCTATCTTTCCACATTATATTAGAAGTCATAGAGTACATTTTTGTATCCATAGCGCATGCATTTTTAGAATCAGCCATTTGTTTTGGAAATCTCGTCACCTTATCTCTTTATCATTGTAACATTTCAATAATGGAGAATTGGCAAATGACAATAAAAAGACATTAAACGAAACTAATGACCATTTCCCAATTTCTTGCTTGATAAAATAATAAGCATTCAGAATCCTTCAAAAACAGATTTTTGTACTTTTTTTTAGCACTATCTTGAATGCTTGGCATTCCTGTTCTCTTTTTTTTTTAAATAGTGACTTTATTGAGATCATTCACATACCATAAAATTCACCTATTTAAAGTATATAGTTCACAGAATTGTGCAGCTATCACCACAATCAAATTTAGAACTTTATCATCACCCCAAAAGGAAACCCTATACCCATTAGCTGTCACTCCCCATTTCCCACCATCCCCCTTTCCTGCTCAAAGCTAGGCAACCACTAATTCACTTTTTATTTCTATTGATTTGCCTTTTGGACTTTTCATATAGATGGAATCATACAATGTATGGTATTTTGTGACTAGCTTTTCACTTAGCATAGTGTTTTCAAGGTTCATCCATGTTGTAGCATGTATCAGAACTTTATTGCTTTTTATTAGCGAATAATGTTCATTGTATGACTATATCACATTTTCTTTATCAGATTATCAGTTCACGGGCATTTGGGTTGTTTCCACATCTTGATTATTTTGAATACTGCTGCTGTGAACATTCATGTGTAAGTTTTTGTGTGGGCATTGGTTTCCATTTCCCTTGGGTTATATACCTAGGAATAGAATTGTTGGATCATGTAGTAACTGTGTTTAGTCTTTTGAGGATCTGCTGCACTATTTTGCAAAGGGGCTGCATCATTTTACATTACCTAGCAGCAGTGAATGAGGCTTCTCATTTCTCCACATCCTTGCCAGTATATGCCACTATCGGTATTTTTGAGTGTAGAGTACTTTATTCTAGATATTCTCTTATGAGATACATGATTTACAAATATTTTGGGTTGTTTTTTCACTTCTTTGATGCTCTTCTTTGAAACAAAAACGTTTTTAATTTTGATGATATCCAGCCTTCTTTTGTAGCTTATGCTTTTGGTGTCGTATCTAAGAAATCATTGCCTGATCAAGATTATAAAGATTTATACCTGTGTTTTCTTCTAAGAGTTTTATAGTTTTAGCTCTTTTAATTAGATCTTTAATCCATTTTCATTTAATTTTTTTATATGATGTGGGCAGGATTCCAACTTCATTCTTTTGCATGTGGCTTTCCAGTTGTCCCAGTACCATTTGTTGAAAACAATATTTTTTTCCCCTTTGAATTATCTTGGCACCTTTGTTAAAAATCAGCTGACCATAGATACATGGGTTTGTTTCTGAACTCTCAATTCTATTCCATTGATCTGTGCTTCTGTCCTTATGCCATTTCTCACTGTAGCTTTGTATTAAGTTTTGAAATGGGAAAGTGTAAGTCCTCCAACTTTGTTCTTGTTTTTTATCATTGTTTTCACAATTCCATATCCCTTGTCTCTTATGTATCTTAAAATCTTACGAATTTTAGGAGCTGCTTGTCAGTTTCTGCCAAAAAGGTCATTGGAATTTGTTAGGGATTTTATTGAATGGTTATTATTGCCATCTTAACAACATTTCCTTCCAGTCCGTGAACAAATTTATTTAGAACGTTGTTACCTACTGTCGACTTGTCTCTGACTCATAGCAACTTCATGTATAACAGAACAAAATGTTGCCCTCTCCTGTGCCATCCTCATAATAGTAGATATGTTTGAGCCCATCATTGCAGCCAGTGTGTCAGTCCGTCTCATTAAGGGTCTTCCTCTTTTACACTGACCCTCTACTTTACCAAGCATGATGTGCTTCTCCAGAGATTAATCCCTTCTGATAACAGGTCTGAAGTAAGTGAAATGAAGTCTTACCGTCCTCACTTCTAAGGAGCATTCTGGCTGCACTTCCTCCAAAACAGATTTGTTCGTTCTTCTGGCAGTCTATGGTATATTCAATATTCTTTGCCTGCACCATAGTTCAAATGCATCAGTTCTTCTTTGATATTCCTTTTTCATTGTCCAGCTTACTCATACATATGAGGCAATTGAAAATACCATGGCTTAGGTCAGGTGCACCTTTGTCCTTAAAGTGACATCTTTGCTTTTTCAATTTTAAAGAGGTCTTTCGCAGATCTGCCCAATGAAATACATTGTCTGATTTTCTTGACTTCTGCTTCCATGGGTGTTGATTGTTGATCCAAGTAGAATGAAATCCTTGACAATTTCAGTCTTTTCTCTGGTTATCATGATGTTGTTTATTGGTCCTGTTGTGAGGATTTTTGTTTTCTTTATGTTCAGATGTAATCGATACTGAAGGTATCGATCTTTGATCTTCATCAGTAAGTGCTTCAGGTCCTCTTCACTTTCAGCAAACAAGGTTGTGTCATCGGCATATCGCAGGTTATTAATGAGTCTTTCTCCATTCCTAATGCTGCATTCTACTTCATATAGTCCAGCTTCTTGGATTATTTGCTCAATATACAGAGAAGATAAGTAAGGTGAAAGGATAAAACCCTGCCACACACCTTTTCCAATTTTAAACCACACAGTATCCCCTTGTTTTGTTCAAACAACTGCCTCTTGATCTATGTACAAGTTACACATGACCACAATTAAGTGTTTTGGAATTCCCATTCTTCGCAGTGTTACCCATAATTTGTTATGCCTTTCTGTAGTCAATAAAGCACAGCTAAACATCCTTCTGGTATTCTCTGCTTTCAGCCAAGATCCATCTGACATCAGTAGTGATACCCCTCATTCCAAGTCCTCTTCTGAATCCAGCTTGAATTTCTGGCAGTTCCCTGTCGATGTATGGCTGAACCTGTTTTTGAGTTTATCTTCAGCAAAATTTTACTTGCATGTGATATAAACGGTATTGTTTGATAATTTCCACATTCCATTGGATCACCTTTCTTTGGAATTGGCACGAATATGGATCTCTTCTAGTTGGTTGGCCTAGTAGCTGTCTTCCAAATTTCTTGGCATAGATGAATGAGCGCTTCCGGTGTTGCGTCCATTTGTTGGAGCATCTCAGTTGGTATTCCATCACTTCCTGGAGTCTTGTTTTTCACCAGTGTCTTAAGTGTAGCTTAGACTTCTTCCTTCAGTACCATTGGTTCTTAATCATATGCCACCTCCTGAAATGGTTGAACGTCGACCAATTATTTTTGGTATAGTAACTCTGTATTCCTTCCATCTTTTTATGATGCTTCCTGTGTCATTCAATTTTTTGCCCATAGAATCCAATATTGTAACTCTAGGCTTGAAGTTTTTCATTTCTTTCAGCTAGAGAAATGCCTAGCATGTTCTTTCCTTTTGGTTTTCTAACTCCAGGTCTTTGCACGTTTCATTATAATGCTTTACCTTGTTTTCTTGAGTCACCCTTTGAAGTCTTCTGTCTAGCTCTTTTACTTCATCATTTCTTCTGTTTG